CCGGAGCGGGAGAGGAAGGAGGTGGATGGGTTCGGACTAGCGGCGCGGAGAGGAGGGTGGGGGTGGGTCAGGGTTGTGGGGCGCCGGCCAGCGAAAATAACCCGATTTCGTCTTGGGCGGCGAGCCGGAGCGGCGTCACGCGAAATTCACACCGTGGCGACGGAGACAGTGCCCGTCGGACTGTCGTGTTCCTGATGTTTCCGTGTGGGCCCACGCCGTTAGACCGACGTGACGGGCGTGCCCGGGCGCGCCCGGGCTCCCACATATCCGCCCCATATTTGGGCTGGATATTGGTGGTGCCGATCAGCCTGCGCGTTTGAGAGGCCCGTCTGGATCAAAAAATCGTGGCCGAGCACTGACCGGGCGTCCCGCCCGAATGTATGAGGCGGGTTTGAGAGGTCCGGTCGTAGATGCTCTCATAAGACAATATATTTTGACCGTTTGAAAACTTTGGTCATGGACGTAAGCTTGGCTGATGGTGATATATTGCTGCCTGATCCACACACTAGCAGGTCTGCATCAGTGGCAACAATTAATGCACAACACTGTGCCACTCGACACCATACGATCTTATTTCTTTTTGGCTGTTTTAGCCTTGCCGATCGTAGCCTTGTGGCCATTTATACCACCATGTGAGATGTTGGGTTTTAATAAACTTTGCAACAATAAAAGGACGTGCGCAATAATCGCACCCTCTTTCTAACCCGAAAAGAAAATCACATCCATTATTCGAAGGAGGAAAAAATAGTTTATCGAGATTCTATGGTTGATGGGGTGGAGTGGAGTTCCTGCGATATTTACAGAATGCGGTGAGGATTTGGGGGTCAACAAGGTGCTGCGGATTGGGCATGCAGTCGGGTTGATCTGGATCTGCATGTATGGGAAACATAAAGGATCTTCCATTGATGGTAGGCTTGAACAGATATTATTTTTGGCAGAAACGGCAGAACACACATCACATCACATGACCGTAGACATAAAGGATCTTGCACTTTAGGTACCCTCCTTATCTTCATCGCTAATGACGGTAGCTGGCTGGATGGGAGGAGTACATTATTGCTGCGTGACCCACGCTAGCACGTCTCTGTATTGTATCAGTGGCGACAATGCACGGCACTGTCGTGTGCCCACCCTACTTGTATCTTAGCACTTGACATGTTTGATGTTTCCAATGCAGACGGTCATGGATTAACCGCGCGCGTGTTCCTCGCTCTACTCTATGAACACTCTGCTGATGCACAGGAGCAAGGTAGGGATGCAAGCGGACGTGTCGGTGAGACCGCAGATAAGCTAAGGCGGCTGCCAATGCATGGACGAGGTGCTCAGCACAGTAAATACTTTAACAATGTTGGCAATAAGCCGCGGCGGCGAGCCGGGCGCGACCGGTGCGTGTTATGGGTGTGCACTGGACGCGTCGGCCGCGCCGGGTCCGTGGGCTAGGCGTGCGTTGTGTGCGTGCGTGAGTAGGCTAGGGTGTGGGCGTGCGATGTGCATGTTGCATCGTAGGACTAGGGCGAGCTGGACTGGGTCTCCATGGCGTTCTGTTGAGGGCTCGACGCGCGCCGGACGTGTGCATACGCGGGGTGGACGCGGCCAGAGCGGGCCAGAACGTGGGCTTGGGGGAATAGACGCGTGCAGGTCGTGCCCAACGCAGTCCAGGGTATAAAACCTGTGTGGTGATCGCCTGTAAAGAGTGCGGGGTGTGTCCAGTTTGTGCTCGAGGAATTGAATCCGTTCGTGCGGCGGCAGCGGTCGTGCGCTGGAAAAGCCTCCTCGTGTTCTTGTTCTTCCCTCTCTTCTGATCTCCTTCCTCCTGTGTTGTGTGAGCAACGACGTCGAGCGAGAGCGAGGGGAGAGAGAGGAGAGCTAGGGCTAGGGCTGCGCGTTAACGACAAACAATGTACTCCTTCGCAATGCATAGATGCTTAACTTGCTACCTTTAATGATTTAACAATTAAAGTTCTTTATACATTGATGTGTTTCTTTCATTTAAATGTTTTGTCTAGGTTCACGCATTTGACGTTGTTTCTTTCTGTGTCACCGCACTCATTTTTCTTCTCTTAGTTAACTTGCCACATCAAAAATTTTACCTGCATGACAGGCTTTAACACATGCACAAGATAGAGCATTGGGACGGGCTTGATAGCTTCCGCTGTAAAATCCGAGCTTAAGGCAAAACCACAAATGTAGATGGCCGTGTAATTTGTGGACGCGTCCCCCTAGAGTGAAAGAATCAATTAGTAGTACAATTAATATTGCACATCTGCCTATGCTATGATTGGGCCAAACAACATTAATGACATAGCAGGTTCTTCTTTTCTGGCCATGTGATACCGACGTGGCGCATTGATCTTCGTCATTGATACAGACGTACTGATGTATGTGTTGGGAGTATCTACTATCATACATGCTTCCTCCGTCCTTAAAAAAGTGTACCTTCAACTTTGTTGGAAAGTCTAACTTTGTTATGTTTAACCGTATTTATATGATAATAGACCAACATATATGCCATCAAATTAGTAGCATCAGATTCGTGATAAAATATATTTTCGTCATATACCTATTTGGTTTCACAAGCATTGATATATTTTTTGCACAAACTCGATTAAACTTTGAGATAGTTTGACCCTCTGACAAAGTTGGAAATACATTCTTTAAAGGACAGACGGAGTGTCATACATATGATATCATATATCTTTATACTCCTAGTAGTGTATAGTATCCTAGATTAGTATCATAAATGATTTTATTTGTTGTCATTCATGACATGTGATAGCATAATATTTATTATGATACGGTATCTACCTATGTTAATATCATAGGTAGTATCATGCATGCCAACTAAGCAATTTCCGTGAAGTGGCATAGAACTAAACGAAGAAAAAGAAGATTGAGTATCATATCATGATACCCTATCATATTAAATGACGTGCTACTATGTGTCATGCATGCATGACAATAAATGAACTATCCTGTGATACCAACGTATGATACTATGCATTACGGTTGTATCATATGCATGATACTAGTATATGATACTTCTCCTACGACCAGCCTAACCCTCTCTCTTATTTAATTGTCTGCCACATTAGTGTGTTTGCTAGTCCCGAGTGTGGATCAGACAATAATATATTCCGTACAATCAAGCCACGTAGGTTTAGCGATGCGATGTGATTCGCTAGCTGGACTGACAACATGCCGGTGACATCAACATGTAGATTAATAGTGTACTTATAGAGATATGGTACCAACTGATGTGCAAGATAAACCTTTTTTATAGGGACAATGTAAGATGGCCTTGTCTTGATCTCAACTCACGCCAACGAAAAACGCGGCGAGAATTCTAACATTCCCCACATGCATGTGATGACAGACAACCACACACAGGATGTGTGGACTGTACTGACAAATGTGAACCACGAGCCACGCGTTGCACGAGCAGCTTATTGTTGGGACCACCAACGGTGAGTAGCAACAAGGTGAAAAGGGCCACTGTGTTCGCATCCATGGATGTCACCACAGGCCATGGTAAATGATTGATTCGTTAGCATCGTCAGCATATTCCTGGCAGAGATGGGTAATTCGGACGTGGAGATAGGTAGGTAGATGCAAATTTAGGGGGGCTAGACTGTTCTGATAATGTAGTAGTTAAGTGATTTAGATGTAGATTTAGGGTCTCTCTTTCTTCTATGGGGTAGTATGATGGGATATATACGATTAAGGATTACTTACTTTAGATAATTTCGAACTGAAAAATGTGGGTATTTCTCTAGCAAACACAATAGATCTTATCAGGGGCGGAGCTAGCATTGGTTACGCCGCTAAGTTAAGCTAACTGGATTGATGCACTAAAAGTTATGGAAAACAAGTTTATGAAATCTTATATTACTTTACAGAGGGAGTACTTGCAAGATATGTCTGGAGGGACATCTTTGCTCTATCACTTGTGGAGATGGGTTCCCGGCTGAACGTATATACCTTTTACTTTCCATAGGAGGCAGAGTCAAGTCATGCTTTTTGCCTACCGTTAATTTGCTTTTTTTTAATAAAGGATATTTCATTCAATTGACTTATGAAGGTGATACAACCACATTAAAAAGAAAGCCCATCTCCTGCATAGCACGACGCACACAATCAACACGTCCAACACAACCAAAAATAGAATACTGTTCTACAACAGTAATAAAAGGTCCATCCTTAGGTGGGTAGATCCTATCCGAAGATTACTTCACCATCCATGAATGGAGAATTCTCCCTGGCCGTATGCTCCAGCCAGGTAGGCGCCACCATAAAAATATCTCTGTCCTCTGGCCTCTGCAGGATAGACCATGTATGGAGCTATCGCTTACATGCATGAATAACCTAACACATTTATATTATTAAAAACCACGTCATTCCTGATGAGGCACACTGCCTAACATAAGGTAGCCGCCCCCACAAGAATGTGTATAAAAAATTGTTTGCCAATACCCCGCAACCAATTGCCGAACATATTACATGCTCTACGTGGGGGGGGGGGTAAAACTTTGAAACTACTGTTAATTAGCTTAAGATAAGAAGGATTTCAGCATGCCAGATTAGGGTAGAGAGATTGATATTTAAAGATCCCAGTTTGGCAATTTCTCTTTAACTTAGCGTGTTCAAATTTATATGTGTGCCATTCGAATGTCTATAGGTACAACTTTTCACTGTTCTCTTTAATATGTACAAAGCGCATACTTTTTTTTGTTGCATTTGACCCATGGAGATAAGCTCCTCTGCCAAATTTTTTGTGGGCTACAGGAATGCATGGTGGTAAGTTACAAAGAGCTCCCACCAGTTAGCCAACTGAGTGGCATCCCTGCCTTGTTTCTTAGGGTTCTAGCCGTAGCTTCATTCTCATCCCACCACCAGCACCACTTGACAGATTCTCCATCCTCATCTATAAATAGATGCATAAGCCTGCAAGGGAACTCACTCCTCAAGCTGCTCACAACACTCCAGCCAGCTGCTAGCAAGAGATGGCTCTACTTGCTGCTGCTACCCTGAATCCCACCACCCACCTTAGCCTTAGAAGCCGTGCAGGACGCAACAGTGAGAACCTATGGCTCCGGTCTGCTGCTTCATCACAGAAGAGCAAGGGAAGGTTCTGTAACCTCACCATCAGGGCAGGCACACCGTCAAAGCCAGCAGAGCCCATTGGGCCTGTGTTCACTAAGCTCAAGCCGTGGCAAATCCCTAAAAGGGACTGGTTCGACAAGGACTTCCTATTTGGTGCCTCCACTTCAGCATACCAGGTATTAATTATTTTCTTGCACAACCGTATATCTGTTAATTTAAAAGAAATAATGATGTTAACTGTTTCAATGATAACAAATACCTAAGGGAAAACATGATGTCAAAATGCATGTTTAGTGGTTTGTTCGATTGCACAAAATGTTATATATGTCGTCATCCGTGTAGATTGAAGGTGCTTGGAATGAAGATGGCAAGGGGCCAAGCACTTGGGACCACTTCTGCCACACATATCCTGGTAACATATACCTTTTCAGTGTTACAAACATACTCATATTATTCTTTCGTGCGCCCTTCTCCTTAATTTCATGTGTATATATGAACAGAGCGCATATCCGACAGGACCAATGGGGACGTTGCGGCAAACTCCTACCATCTATATGAAGTAAGTACTCCGACGGGACCAATGGTTTTTCCAAACAAAAATCTAACAAATCTTATGACAGGATTGATTTTATGTCGTTGCATTTTTTTTTTGGAAAAACCATTTGGAATATGCACTTCTAATAAAAATAAAAATATGCATGACAATATGTTGTCATCATTATTCATGTCATCGTTTATGGCTGACAGGAGGATGTCAAAGCGCTGAAGGACATGGGCATGAAAGTGTATAGGTTTTCCATCGCTTGGTCCAGAATACTGCCAGGTAAATACAAAATAACCATGTATATTTTGTATGGTGAATACGTTAGGAACAATAAAGATGTCCTCTACAAATTAGACGCAGCCGATAAGACTTGTTATAATATTTGGGTCCTAATTTCAGCACATGTTTACTATGGCTTTCAGATGGGACGGGAAAAGTAAACCAGGCAGGCATCGACTACTACAATAAGCTGATCAACTCGCTGATAGATAACGGTGAAAACCATTTTCTTCTTTGTTTGATTAGTGCTTAATGAGTCAGACTCGCAAGGGCTCGCACAAATAATTATTTGTTTTTTGAAACTCAGACATAGTGCCATATGTTACAATTTGGCACTGGGACACTCCTCAAGCACTGGAGGACAAGTACGGCGGCTTCTTAAATAGGCAGATTGTGTAAGTATGCAGCAAACAAAAGAAAATTGATTTGTAAGAAAATGGTTCTAAAGAAAGATCAGTAATTGCAATTACAATATGTATAAAAACTACGAACTATAATATTGTTAAATTCGATTGGAGGAAGGCCATTATTGGACCATGAGTAGAAAAACGTTTCTTTTCAGAACACAAACAATGTTGTACTGTCATTCAATGATGCATCAGTAAACTAACATAACTACTTATTGTTAAGCTAAGAAACAATTTTGTTGAACATCGTTCGGGTTTGGTTTTTTTTTCAGAGATGATTACAAACAATTCGCCGAGGTGTGCTTTAAGAACTTCGGCGACAGGGTGAAGAACTGGTTCACCTTTAACGAGCCACATACATATTGTTGTTTCTCCTATGGTGAGGGGATTCATGCTCCTGGGAGGTGCTCGCCAGGGATGGATTGTGCCGTCCCAAAAGGAGACTCGCTCAGAGAGCCATACACTGCTGGTCACCACATCCTCTTAGCTCATGCTGAGGCTGTTGAGCTGTTCAAAGCTTGTTACAACAAGGTACATACACAAAGAGAGACATCTACATTATCTAATAAACAAGCAACAACTAGTCGTATGTATTTGTGTATTTAATTTAGTTATATTGATGTCCAACTGCAGCATGGGGATTCCAAGATAGGGATGGCCTTTGATGTAATGGGTTACGAGCCATTCCAAGACTCCTTCCTCGACGACCAGGCCCGGGAAAGATCCATCGACTACAACCTCGGATGGTTCCTGGAGCCAGTGGTTCGTGGTGACTACCCCTTCTCTATGAGATCGCTGATCGGAGATCGTCTACCCAAGTTCACTAAGGAGGAGCAAGAGAAGCTAGCGTCCTCATGTGACATCATGGGGCTCAACTATTACACCTCCAGATTCTCCAAGCATATTGATATTTCATCAGACTTTACGCCGAAGCTGAACACCGACGACGCTTACGCCAGTTCAGAAAGTAAGAAATATGGTTGAGGACAAACCGTAGTACTTTACAGATCCTTTGAGAAATTTGATGTTCTCATGCTAATCCTGCGCCTTTTTTCTTCTGTTCGAGCAGCTAAAGGGAGTGACGGGAATGACATCGGTCCTATTGTATGTATCTTCCTACTAGCTACCTGGTTAATTTTGCATACAACATTACATATATGATGATGGTGATAATGTAGATTATTTTCACCAAAATCTTATGGTAGAACTAGTCAGCCAGGACTTTAGTTAAACTTTCGAACAAAAAGGTTAAGTGGCATAGACATGATAATGCTTTATTTCTGCAATAAAGCTTAAACAAATCTTTAGTTTTTTCTCGTTACTAAATACTAATTAAAAGTTTGGACATCCATTTGCAGACCGGGACTTATTGGATTTACATGTACCCAAAAGGCCTAACGGACCTCCTTCTGATCATGAAGGAGAAATACGGAAACCCACCCATCTTCATCACTGAGAACGGTAAGTAGTGATA